CGGTTGGGACATGGCGGGCGTGCAGGGTGCGAGCGCTGGCTTTTGCGGGGGGTTGTGGGTGCACGTGTGGGTTTGGGTGGGCAAAGACAAAGGGGTGAGGAGCGTGGCATCGAAAGGGCAGCCGGGGGGTGCGTGGGGGTGTGTGCACATTCACACATGTGTGTGTGTGGATGTCTGTGCCAGGGTGTGCGCACATGCGTGTGCACACGTGTGGTGGGACTGCGCCTGTGCTGGTGGCGGCGTGCACGAACGTGACCGCGTGTGTGCGTGTCTGCAGACACGTGTGTGGGTGTGTGCACACGTATGTGCACAGCGCAGAGCCAGGGGGGGCCCACCCCATGGTTGGCCGGGCCCAGGCACCCTTCCCATGACCCACCCAGCACAGGGGGACCTCAGGGACCGCTGGCACCCCCTGAACCCGCGCTCCCTCCTCCCCGTGACGCAGTGCCACGCTCACCCTCCCTCCCCAGGGAAGTGCCGGCCGGTGTCTCGGTGCAGTCGCGGGCATGCCGGGCTGCTCGCAGCGTCTGTGCTGCCGGGGGAGCAGGGGCAGACGGGCTCTGCTCCCCCAGATCTGCCACCAGTCCTGTCCCCGGTTGTCCCCCGTCGTCCCCAGGTCGCTGCCTCACTCACCTGGCAGGGCAGAGCTGGGAGGTGCTGCCAGCGCATCCGCTCCTCTCCTTGTCCTTTCCTGTCCCCTTCCTTCCATCTTATCCAGCGCCGTGCAGAGCCCCTCACCCTGGCATCCCTCCTCTGGCACCCTCCCCTCTCCCCAGCCCGACCACGGATGGGATCCTTCCCCTCTGCCCTTTTATACCATCTTTGTTCATATGACAAGCACGTGAAAAAATAGAGCAGAGCTCAGAAAAAAGCTCCTTAAGATGCTTTAATTCACTTTCCTGGATCCCATGACTGAGCTCGGCCTGTGAACGGGGTCTCATGACTGTGGCACGCAGGTCCTGGCCATCAAAAGCCTCATTTATGCCCCAAAAGAGACTTAAACCCCTCTTGGCCGGTCACCCGGTGAGCCCAACGTCCCCCATGCCCAGCCTCGGCCACAGACCTGTCTGCACCGGCATGGCGCCTCTGCCGAGGGCTCGCCGCAGAGGGTCTCCTGTCCTTTCCCCCACGGGATCCCCGAGACATCCAGTACGGCATCCCCATTCACAGCCAGCACACGTGGGGACACACGGGCACCCCCCAGCCCAGCCACAGGCCTGCAGCAATGGGCGCAGGAGCCGCCTGTGCCCCAGCTCTTCTGGCTGGGGACCTCAAACTGACCCAGGGGGACGGCCGGCCCCTGCC